CCTGGGATTCCATTCTAGTCAGAAGTGAGAGAGTCACAGTAGACATGAGAAGGAGGTAGTGCCACCATATGGTAGATGTGACACCCTCCCGACCTCCTCTAGGTATGGAAGCATGGTTTCTGATTGTCACGGGGATGGCAAATCCCTGAAGCAGCTAAAATGGTAAGTGGGGTTTGGGTGCAGAAGGAGGGGCTCCCATCTCCACACAACTACGTGTGGTCTGCGGTGGCCTGTTGGTGGGGGCTGGCAGAACTCTGGCTCCACACATGTTATGATTCCTGCTACAGGGCTGAGGGCTGAGGGCTTTCCCTGCAGGAAAAGGAGTCAAGACCGCTGGGGATCGGGGCCCAGGCACTGTAGGGTGTGCAAGAGGCTGGAGAGCAGAGTGAGCCCACAGAGAATCCATCCCCACCACCTCCCATCCAGCTCTGCCCACACGCCCAGCGCCCATGCTGAGCCAGAGAAGGAGGTGTGCAGAGCATCCCGCTCACACTCGGGGCTGGAGCCACCATGGGGATGCTCAGCTGCTGCTGGGGGCGCAGATTGTGGTCAGGGCCAAGAGATTGGTGTCAGTGGCAAAAGGAGATGCAGACACTTGGGCAGTACATCCACGTGTGAGCTCAAGTTTAGGCATTTCCAAGGGCCCTGGGTAGGCCAGGGGAGCAGAGCCTAACTCTGTTTCCCCATTTATCAGATATTCCTGGACACCTCCTGTGTGCCAGCGAGTAATGCCCAAAACAGACAGCACCCTCCTGCCCTGATGGACAGGTCATTCCAGCAGGGATGGGGCAGGGACACAGACAGAGGAGGGTGTCACGTTTCCCTGAAGAAGGGAAAGGTGGTCACACCAGTGGTTGAAGGATCCTCCCATGGAGGCTCTTGCCAGCCCCTCCTTGGTGGCCAGGCCTGTCCCTGCCAGGGCTACCAGACTGGGGGTGGACTTTGGAGGGGCTGGTCTATGGCCAGGCAGGGGCAGAGGGTACAAGACTGCAGCTCACTCAGGGGAGCCTTGGGAGGGCAGCATAGAGGGATAGGACAGGCCTCTGACGCTGATTCCCACCTGTCTCCCCCAGTGCCATGTCCTCCGTCCTAAAGATCTGGCTTGAATTCTATTCCACTGATTTCCACGAGCCTCCGGAATTTCATTCCTTGAAGTTTCTGTCGGCCTACATACATGTCAGTATGCCGGGTTCAGAGGTGGAGCGCAAGGCTGATCTTCTTCTGGTGCAGCTGGAGAAGCTGGAGCACCTGGAGCCTAGTGAGGCGGAGACTGAGGGTGAGGAGGAAGAGGGTGGGTGCCTGTGAGGGTTTGGGGAGGGGGCTGGGCTGGGCCACAC